AGCCGGATTGTATAAAATGGATTAAAAAAAAAAGTTTATTAACGAGCTGCAGTTTTATTACATCACGCGCTGGCACAGATGCAGTAGCCTATATTAACGTCACGGGTAGGGTTGCCACCCGTCCCTTAAAATACGGAATCGTCCCGTATTTTAAGGTAAAATGATGTGTCCCGTATCAAATCAATACGGGACACGATTTGTCCAGTATTTTACAAAGGCCAACAAGCTGAATCAACAAATAAGTATTTTGCACCGTTTATAATGCTAATAGCAATTATAATCAAATGAATTTCATAAGAAGTTAGAGAAGCTCATCTTGGCGTCTTTGTTTCCATGGCGATGATGGAGTCTCCAGAACGCGCGCCGTTAAAGCCCTTTCACGCGAGCGCAGCATGCGCTAAACCTGCGCGGTTTAAAACATCTGGGAGCTCACATCTGCATGCACGGTTTAAAACATCGAGGAGTTTACGTCCGCCCTTTGAAGACTCTCCAGATGTAGAGCTGAACGGGAAAGTTATCAATGGGTCTGTCCAGTAACTAATGATGAACGCGCAGTTTGCAGAGAAGCATTTTCTCACGTTGGACTGTCTGACTTAAAGGGATAGTTCACCCAAAAAAATCGTTTACACTCCCACAAGTTGTTCCAAACCTGTAATAATTTCTTTCTTCTGTTGAACTTAAAAGAAGATACTTTGAAAAATGTGGGTAACCAAACAGTTTCTGGTCCCTAAAGACTCTGCATATATGTCATATACATTGTGACATTTTAAAGAGTAAAAAAAATGCTAAATTATTTAGATTTAATGTAGTCCTATTTTAAGCAATGAATAAAACAATAAAAATTAATCTCATCCATGTAACAACTTCAGAACTGTCAAAAAAAAATAGACTAATAAGAATGAATAAATTACATTCATGAGCATGTTTTCTCATGGTGTATTGTTGAGTTCCTCACTGATTATTTGTGTCATAAGGTGCAGATTTGGTTCTCAATTTGTGTTTCCAACACTTTTTCACCGCGCGCAGCATGCACTCAAACTCATTAAAAATCAGCAAGTTCAACAAGCCACAACGACTTATCCAAGTGACTGCTGCAGAACGCACGCGAGAGAGAGACGAGGCAGCGCAGATCGCGCGTCTCATAAGTGAGTGGGAATTTACCGAACGTGGCACTTGCGGGAGTTAACACTGTACGCGATACATCACTTAAAATGTACTCAAGTAAAAGTAAAAGTACACAATTTTTAAACTACTCAAAAAAGTACAATTACTGATAAAAACTACTTAATTACTGTAACGCGAGTATTTGTAATTCGTTACTTCACACCCCTGCTGAGAACACACTGAAAATCTAGCATTTAAAATCTAAATTAAGCCTGAAAATAAGGTTTTTGAACTTCTGATATCATTTATTTAAAAAATGAGTGCTGTCAAATAGATTAATCGCGATTAATCACGTCCAAAATAAAAGTTTGTGTTTACATATGTGTTTGTACTGCGCATATTTATATGTATATATAAACATACACACATACATGTAAATATTTAAAGGGGTCATATGATGCTTTTTTAAAGATCATTATTTTGTGTA